CCACAGGCGACTGGTGAAGAGTTCTTGCGGAGATCCCTGGCTCTGGGAGCTGAGCTCAAGGGTGCCTGAGTGAAGGATGAAGGGAAGGAAGGAGAGAGGCCGCCTGAGAGCAGAGTCTGTGCCCAGCCCAGCCCACCCTCCCCGGCTCCTTGGCCCAGAGGGAGAAGCTGCGGGGTAAGGTACTGAGAGCCAAACAAAATCAGACACGTGCTGAGGGCAAGGCCTGGCCTGAGACAAATGAGGGGGAGCTAGGGCCTGGTCCCCTCCTCCACATACTGGCTGGGGAGACAATTGCTGGGGCACTGGTAGCAGAAGAGAAGCCCTGAGGAGCTGAGGGGCAAAACTTGACCCTGCGCGGCATATTCCATCCAGCGAGATGAAAAGGTTTAGCATAGACAGTGGTGAAAGATGAACAACACGGTGATTGTAAGCCATGCCTCTGAATTGTACCCTCAAAAATGGTTACAATGGCCAAGTGTATGTTATATGTCTTTTATCACAGTAAGATAAGAAATACTGGGAGAGGGAGAAATTAGATCTCCTGTAGTTTGCTGGTGGAAAACCGTTTTGAGCTTCCTCAAAAAGTTCATGTGATAATTCAAAATGCACCAACAGCAGAAGAGAAGCCAGATGATTGGGACCTTCTAAAAATTAAATTTTTATGTGCTTCCAAAGACTTCTCCAAAAGAGTCAAAAGAGAACCTACAGATTGGGAAAAAATATTTGGTAATAACATATCTGACAAGGGACTTATCTCTAGAATTTATAGAACACTTCAACACCTCAATAACAAAAAGACAAACAATCCAATTAAAAAATGGGCAGAAGACATGAATAGACACTTCACCAAGGAGGATATTCAAGCGGCCAACAAACATATGAAGAAATGCTCACAATCATTAGCTATTAGAGAGATGCAAATCAAAACAACAATGAGATACCATCTTGCTCCAGCACTAGTAGCAAAGTTCAACAAGACAGAAAATAACAAATGCTGGCATGGTTGTGGAGAGATTGGGACTCTCATACACTGCTAGTGGGACTGTAAAATGGTACAACCATTGTGGAAAGCAGTATGGTGATTCCTTCAAAAGTTGGAAATACAAATACCATTTGACCCAGCCATTCCATTAGTAGGTATATACCCTAAAGAAGTGAGAGCCATAACAAGAACAGATATATGCACGCCGATGTTCATCGCAGCACTATTTACAATAGCCAAAACTTGGAAACAACCTAGATGTCCAACAACTGAGGAATGGATAACCAAACTTTGGTACATTCACACAATGGAATACTATGCAACGCTAAAGAATAATGTAGAATCTGCAAAACACCGCATAACGTGGATGAACTTGGAGGACCTTATGCTGGGTGAAATAAGTCAGTCACAAAAGGACAAATATTGTATTAGTCTGTTATTGTAAAAGTTAAGGAAAGGTTTATATATTGGAGGACATTTTCTTTGTTGGTTACCAGGGGTGGGAGGGGAGGGGAGGGAATGCTGTTAGATAGATAGAGATAAATATTGATTTGGGTGAAGAGAAGGGCAATGTACCAAATGTGAGTGACCAATATGGCAGCATTGAGGATGAGAAAGACATAGAGAGTTACATGGGCAGTACAGACAACAAATATGAACCCCTTTGCATATACAGTACTGAGATGTCAGTGAAGGCAAACATGGGTATAGGGACGGATAGATGGGTGAACAAGCTAAACAATTGGGTATGTCTAAATGGAGAGTGTATCCAAGATCATATATAGGGTTGGCAGACAATGGGCCTATAAGTTCATGTGAATGATCAGAATTCCCAGGTGTATAGTAGAGCTGACAAGGAGCAAGGTTATGGTCATTGCTTGGTCACAGCCAGCTACCCAGAGGGACCGAGTAGTTGATCCTGAGGGCTTGGGACCATGGTTGCAGGGGACATCAAGCTCAATTGGTATAACATACTATACAAAACATTGTTCCACCTACTACTTTGGCGAGTAGCAACTGGGACCTTAAAAGCTAGGAAGCTGCCATCTAGATGCAACAACGGGTCTCTCCTCGTCAAGAAGAAAGAAGAAAACCAAAATTAATGGAAACAATCAGTCCTAGCAACTGGTACACCATCTGATCTGCAACCTGTACAACCTGTACAACCATGAGACCAGAAGAACTAGATGGTGCCCAGCTACCACTGCCATCCACTTGGAAGGGAAAGAGGGAGAACAATGTGGAACAAAACTCAAAATCATTTGGAGGCAAAAAAAAAGAAGGTGGGGACCAGGTTTGCTGGTCCAATGGAGCCTGGTGTAACCACTGAGACTATGGCCCCTAGCTGCCCTTCTGGTCTGGAATTGAACCCACAACTGTGGTTTCCAGCCAAACAAAGTACAGGCATGTGAGTTAAACATTTACCTCAAGTAGACACACACCCTGGAGAGAACAATCATAGGAGAAGGAAGGGCTGCTTATGCACAGGGAGATAGCTCAGGGTGCAGAAGAGTATGAAGGGATGGACACTGGGAGGAGGTAACTATGGGGAGGAAGTGGGAGGGGAGCTGCTGCATTGTAAATTTTGGTCAATGACATGAGACAAAGTATATGTGAACTGCTGTATGAAAAGTGAATTTACTCTGTAAATCTTCACCCAAATCCTAAAAAAAAAAAAAGTTCATGTGAAACTACCATACGACCCAGCAATTCTACTCCTAGGTATGTTCCCAACAGAAGTGAAAACAGAAACTCAAGTAGACTTGTACACCAATGTTCACAGCAGCACTATTCACAGAAGGTGGGATCCATCCAAATGTCTGTCAACGGACAAGCACTGTGTGGTCCAGCCAGACAAGGGGCTGTTACCCAACCAGTGGGAGAGATGAGCCCTGATACATGTACTGTTGTATGGTTACACGGCTGAGCTTGGAGACATTAACTAAGTGAAATAAGCCAGAAAAATACTCACAAAAGAACAAATGTTGCACGATTCCACTGACGTGAAATATCTGTTGTCGTTAGGTGCTATCAACTCCGCTCCAACGCACAGTGACCCCGTGCACAGCAGGAGGAAACGCTGCCTCTCGATCCTTGCTGTACCTGAGCCCATCGTTGCAGCCACTGTGTCCGTCCACCTCCTTGAGGGTCTTTCCCTTGTTCACAAGCCGTGGTGGCTTCTTCTCGGCTCCTCACACCCCTCCTCGTTCCACAGGGCGCGGGGCTGAGGACCAGGGAGGGGCAGGGGTTTCCCCAAAGTCAAGCTGGTTTGCTTGTGTGTGTCCACTTTTTTTAATTGTGATGGAAGACCTGTCACATAACATTTGTAATTTGAACCACTGTCGCAGCACAATCCAGGGGCGTGAGTTACAATCACCGTGCGGCTCGTCCTTCCCACACTCTTTGCAAACCGCTTCAGCCCCTTGAACAGAAACTCAGGAAACAGCAACCCCCGGTGCCCCACCCCCATCCCAGGCCGCATAACCTCTATTCTACTCTGTCTCAGGAATTTTCTAGACACTTCATAAGGTTTCAGTGGCCAATATTTTCAGAAGTGGATGCCTCTATCCTTCTTCCCAAGCCGTGGTGGCTTTTTATTATTATTATCATTATTACTATTTTTGTTGTGACTTGGGTGAAAGTTTACAGAGCAAATTCATCTTCTATACAGCAGCTCACATACACTTTGTCTCATGACATTGACTGCAATTTCCCACAATGCAACAGCTCTCTTCCCACTTCCTCCCCATAGTGACCTCTTCCCTGTGTCCTTCCCTCCATGCACTCCTGCCATGATGTTTTCCATCGTCTCATGTGCATGTGAAAACTGGACAATGAGTAAGGAGCACAGAAGAAGAGTTGATGCATCTGAACCAGGGTGTTGGTGAGGAATATTGAAGATACCACAGATGGCCAGAAGAACGCCCAGAGCTGGGGGCCCAGGCACAGGATGGTGGGGCTGAGGACGTCTCTGGGTGCCCTGCTTTGTCCTGGAGTCTGGGGGTGCCTCTTACCCTCCTTCAGAGAGGGCAGAGGGCCCTCGGAGTGGTGACAATCTAGCTCCTGAAGTGATTCATCTCATCCTCACATCACTTGGGTGTATGTTACTATTCTCCTATTTCTTAGTTTGGAAAACAGGCACAGAGAGGTTAAGACACTAGCCTGAGATCACACAGTTAAGTGACAGGGCTAAGATCTAAGCCCAGGCCACACACTTACCCACCAGCTCACTCACAGCAATGCAGCGTACTCTCTCCATTTTCTATGAGAACACCGATGTCCAAAGAGGTGACGAGATTTGTCCAAGGTTACCCAGTTACAAAGAGGCAGGACCAGGAAGAGCCAGTCTGTCTGACCCTGAGCCCATGACCTTGGCCACTTCAGGACCCTCAGAACCTCTGTATCCCCCCCATCACTCTCCCCAGGAGACTGGGCCAGTATGGCCCAGGCCCTTGGCAGAGCCCACCACCTACCACAGCCAACTCTAAGAGTGGTGTTCTGGCCTGTACGTCCCCTGCTTATCCTGGGGGTCTCCCGGGCAGAAATATAACTCCCAGGCCCATGGAGGCCCTGGGGCTTTGAGAATCAGCATCGACCCAGAGAGGGGAGGGGCCGGCACCTGTGTCTCCCCAAGGGTCAGTGCTCTCCCAGACGGGGGGAGCCAACCACCCAGTTAGGATGGGATTCCTGTCTCAGGAAGACGGGCCTCTTTGGGGACCTTCTACCAGTCTGTTCCCAAACACATGATGAGTCCAGAGGTAGCCCCTGCAGGGGATCCCCCTGACATCCTCCCAGGCCAGGGAGGGTGCCCCTCAGGATCCAGCACACTCCTCCCCCCACCAGCATGACCCCAGGTGGCTCCTGGTTTGCTGTGTGGCCTTAGACCAGTGGCTGCCCCTCTCTGGGCCTTGTTCTTGGCCAAGGGCTACGAGGCTCAGCCTCAGCCCGGCCCCGCCTGGCACCCGCTCTGTCTCTGTGCTGCCTGGCTCAGGTCCAGACAGCAGGGCAGGGCTGTCACATGCCGATCCACGTGACAGGCAGCGGCCGGGGGCTCCATCCCATGAAGAGGACGGGGGCTCTGCGCAGCCCCCTGCGCACCCCCCACCTGGCTGCAGTCTCCAGGGTCGACCAGGGCAGGTGTGGACCAGGTAGGCAGGGGGAGCCGGGAGGATGCCGAGGTGTGATGCACCTCTTACGGGTGCTGGGTAGGCCCAGGGGCCCTGGGGCAGGATCCCAGGCGGATCAGGGTGACAGCACAGGCGATGGCACAAAGCCACAAAGGATGTCCCTCCCCCACACCTGCAACACAATCGCCGCCTGCCTGTCACCAGCAGCTGCTCCGGAGTCATCCTTCTTTGTGCTGGCTCTGACAGGTGTGTCCAAAGGGGACGAGCGCAGGTGACAGGTCCCCTCACTGCCCGCCAGGGCACAGCTCGGCCACTGAGGAAGAGTGGGCAGACTTCAGGGACCGTCACGGTGACACGTGCTCTCATGACTGCTGTCCCAGAGGGTGGGTGGTCCTCGGCCCTGAGAGGTGGAGTAAACACCTGGGGGGCATGGTCCCCGTTGTGGGATAAGATGTGTCTGGGGTGGGCGCCAGTCCCGCCACGCGCATCCTGTGTGGCCGAGTCCTGTCCCGTCTCCCGCATCTGTTTCCTCGATTGTAAAACATGGGGTTTCTGGTGACGGGCCCCATGGGTGGGGTGGCAAGTGGGGTGGCAGCGATGGTGACAGGGTCCATGGGTGGGGTGGTGGCGATGGTGACAGGGTCCACTGGTGGGGTGGTGGGTGGGGTGGCGGTGATGGTGATGGGCCCCATGAGTGGGGTGGC